TTTGGCGGCCCGGGCTGGGGATTTGAACCCGCCACCTTAGGTGTATGTGGCTGGCGCCTTAGCCGCTTGAGCCACAGGCGCCGAGCCAAGGCCTGGCTATTTTTGTTTCAGTTATCACTGCTGTTTCAGCTGGCCGGGGCTGGACTTGAATTCACCACCCTCGGTTATGGGGCCAGTGCCCTACCCACTGAACCACAGGCACTGCCCACACACCTGGCTAGTTTTATTTTTTATTTTATTTTATTTTTTAAGGGACAGAATCTCACTCTATCGTCCTTGATAGAGTGCCATGGCATTGCAACTCACAGCAACCTCCAGCTCTTGGGCTTAAGCGATTCTCTTGCCTCAGCCTCCTAAGTAGCTGGGACTACAGTTGCACACCAATTTTTTGTTGCAGTTTGGCCCGGGCTGGGTTTGAACCCACCACTCTCGGTATATGGGGCCAGCGCCCTACTCACTGAGCCAAAGGCCCCACTCACAGCTATTTTTAAAGATGAGATCTTGCTCTGCCTCAGGCTGGTCTGGAACCCAAGAGCTCAGAAAATCTACCTGCCTCGGCCTCCCAAGTACAGGTGTGAGCCACTGCACCCAGCATTTTTTTTCTTTTTTAATTTTGTTGAAATAGGGTCTCTATCATCTAAGATGGAGGGCAATGGTGTTATCATAGGTCACTGCAATCTCAATCTCCTGGGCTCAAGCAATCCTCCCTGCCTCAGCTCTGAAGTAGTTAGGATTCTTTTTGTTTGTTTTTGAGACAGGGTCTTACTTTGTTGCCCTCAGCAGAGTGCTGTGGCATCATAGCTTATGGCAACCTCAATCTCTTGGGCTCAAGTGATCCTCTTGCCTCCCAAGTAGCAGAGATTACAAGTGACTGGCAGAATGCCCAGATATTTTTTGTTTATTTATTTATTTTTTTAGAGACAGAGTTATTTATTTATTTAGTTATTTATTTATTTTTTTAGAGACAGAGTCTTATTTTGTCACCCTCGGTAGACTGCTGTAGCATCACAGCTCACAGCAACCTCAAACTCTTGGGCTTAGGCAATTCTCTTGCCTCAGCCTCCCAAGTAGCTGGGACTACAAGTGCCCGCCAGAAGTCTGGCTATTTTTTGTTGCAGTTTGGCCAGGGTTGGGTTTGAACCCGCAACCCTTGGTATATGGGGCCAGCGCCCTACTCCCTGAGCCACAGGTACCACCACAGCTATTTTTTTAGAGACAAGGTATTGCTCTTGCTCAGGCTGCTCTGGAACTCCTGAGCTCAAGTAAACCACCCTCATCAGCCTCTCGGAAAGCTAGGATTATAGACATGAGCCACTGCACCCAACCCTTGAGAAGTATTTCACTTGAGGCCCTCACCTGTGCCTCAGTAACAAAAGAGAAAATACTGGCTGTCAACACCCTCATTCCCCCCCACCCCCGAAGTGCCCCAATTTCTTCCACTTCCTGAGTCCCTGACCCTGGCAGAGCCCAATCCCTGGGCCAGCATCCTTGCTACCTTTGCAGCATCTCTTTTCTTCCCTGTTGGCATACTCACAAAAGCAAACAAACATGTTCTAACATCTCTTTTCCCAAAAATGCCTTCCTTGCCTATCTCCCTCTAGGTGACAACTGTCTTCATGCCAATTACCATCTCCACGACCTCACCTCACCCACTTCAAGCAGGCTTTTGTCCCTACTCCTAGGGTGGTCTCTCCAAAACTTATGTGCCTGTCAGAGGCCACAACCTCCTCCTGACAGAGATCCTTTGTCTTCTTGGAGCTCAAAACCCCACACTTGGCTGGGCGTTTGTGGTGGCTGAGGCAGGTAGACTGCTTTAGCTCAGGAGTTTGAGACCAGCCTGAGCAAGAGCAAGACCCCATCTCTACCAAAAATTAAAAGCTACAGGCACACACCAGATATTAGTTGCGGTGTGTGCTTGCAGTCTTAGCTACTCGGAAGGCTGAGGTAAGATGACTGCTCAGGCCTAGGAATTTGAGGTTGCTGTGAGCTATGATGACACCTGGGCATTCTACCCAGGGTGAAAGAGTGAGAGTCTGTCTCAAAAAAAAAAAAAAAAAAGAAAAGAAAGAAAAGAAAAAGAAAAGAAAAAAGAAAGCTACACCTTCTGGCTTTCTTTCCTCTTATCTCATCAGTGCCTCCTTCTTGGCCTTTTCTGCTGGTCCCTAAATGCTGACATACCCGAAGCTTATTTCTGGGCCTCTCTGTTCTTTCACACTTTCCTCCACTCATACAGCTTTAAATACTTCCCTTGGGGAAATGACTTCCAAATCAACACCAACCTCCTCAGAGCTCCAGACTCACAAAACTAAGCTATTGTCAATATCACCACTTGAATGTACAGTGGGCACCTTAGATTCACTGTGGAAAAATGGAATTCCTTTTTTTTAACTGGAGACAGAGTCTCACTTTGTCATCCTGGGTAGGGTGCCATGGTGTCATAGCTCTCAGCTAACCTCCAACTCTTGGGCTCAAATGATTCACTTGCCTCAGCCTCCCAAGTAGCTGGGACTATAGGCACCTGCCACACATCTGTTTTTTTTTTTTGTAGAGATAGGTTCTCGCGCTGGTTTAGGCTGGTCTCGAAACTGTGAGCCCAGGCAATCCACCTATCTTGGCCTCCCCGAGTGCTAGGATTATAGGTGTGAGCCACCGTGCTGGCTCTCCAAATGGAATTCTTTTTTTTTTTGAGACAGGAGTCTTACTGTATGTATCACCCTCGGTAGAGTGCTATAGTGTTACAGCTCACAGCAACCTCAAACTCTTAGGCTTAAGTGATTCTCTTGCCTTAGCCTCCCAAGTAGCTGGGACTACAGGTGCCTGCCACAACACCCAGCTATTTTTTTTTTTATTACTGTTGTCATTGTTGTTTTACCAGGCCCTGGCCAGGTTTGAACCACACACTACCCCAGTGTGTGTGGCTAGCACCATAATCACTTAGCACTGAGCACTAAGCTGGAATTCTTTGTCTCTAAAAAAAAAAGCCTCACTTTGTAGCCCTTGGTAGAGTGCCATGGTGTCACAGCTCACAGCAACCTCCAGTTCTTGAGCTTAGGTGATTCTGTTGCCTCAGCCACCCAAGTAGCTGGGACTAAGGAGCCCGCCACAACGCCTGGCTATTTTTTTTTTTTTTTCCTTTTCAGTTTTTGGCCAGGGCTAGGCTTGAACCCACCACCTCCAGCATATGGGGCCGAGGCCCCACCCCTTTGAGCCACAGGCACTGCCCTATTTTTTTTTT